GAGAACTTGACGGTCTGCATGACATTTTCATTTGAATTGAGATTGAGACAAGTGATTTAAAAGTGAGTCAGGGTGGTGAGGCAGCTGAGAATTAGACGGTCTACCTGCCATTTACATTAGAATTGAGATTGAGACAAGTGATTTAGAAGTGAGTCAGGGTGGTGAAGCTGCTGAGAACTTGACGGTCTGCATGACATTTTCATTTGAATTGAGATTGAGACAAGTGATTTAAAAGTGAGTCAGGGTGGTGAGGCAGCTGAGAATTAGACGGTCTACCTGCCATTTACATTAGAATTGAGATTGAGACAAGTGATTTAGAAGTGAGTCAGGGTGGTGAAGCTGCTGAGAACTTGACGGTCTGCATGACATTTTCATTTGAATTGAGATTGAGACAAGTGATTTAAAAGTGAGTCAGGGTGGTGAGGCAGCTGAGAATTAGACGGTCTACCTGCCATTTACATTAGAATTGAGATTGAGACAAGTGATTTAGAAGTGAGTCAGGGTGGTGAAGCTGCTGAGAACTTGACGGTCTGCATGACATTTTCATTTGAATTGAGATTGAGACAAGTGATTTAAAAGTGAGTCAGGGTGGTGAGGCAGCTGAGAATTAGACGGTCTACCTGCCATTTACATTAGAATTGAGATTGAGACAAGTGATTTAGAAGTGAGTCAGGGTGGTGAAGCTGCTGAGAACTTGACGGTCTGCATGACATTTTCATTTGAATTGAGATTGAGACAAGTGATTTAAAAGTGAGTCAGGGTGGTGAGGCAGCTGAGAATTAGACGGTCTACCTGCCATTTACATTAGAATTGAGATTGAGACAAGTGATTTAGAAGTGAGTCAGGGTGGTGAAGCTGCTGAGAACTTGACGGTCTGCATGACATTTTCATTTGAATTGAGATTGAGACAAGTGATTTAAAAGTGAGTCAGGGTGGTGAGGCAGCTGAGAATTAGACGGTCTACCTGCCATTTACATTAGAATTGAGATTGAGACAAGTGATTTAGAAGTGAGTCAGGGTGGTGAAGCTGCTGAGAACTTGACGGTCTGCATGACATTTTCATTTGAATTGAGATTGAGACAAGTGATTTAAAAGTGAGTCAGGGTGGTGAGGCAGCTGAGAATTAGACGGTCTACCTGCCATTTACATTAGAATTGAGATTGAGACAAGTGATTTAGAAGTGAGTCAGGGTGGTGAAGCTGCTGAGAACTTGACGGTCTGCATGACATTTTCATTTGAATTGAGATTGAGACAAGTGATTTAAAAGTGAGTCAGGGTGGTGAGGCAGCTGAGAATTAGACGGTCTACCTGCCATTTACATTAGAATTGAGATTGAGACAAGTGATTTAGAAGTGAGTCAGGGTGGTGAAGCTGCTGAGAACTTGACGGTCTGCATGACATTTTCATTTGAATTGAGATTGAGACAAGTGATTTAAAAGTGAGTCAGGGTGGTGAGGCAGCTGAGAATTAGACGGTCTACCTGCCATTTACATTAGAATTGAGATTGAGACAAGTGATTTAGAAGTGAGTCAGGGTGGTGAAGCTGCTGAGAACTTGACGGTCTGCATGACATTTTCATTTGAATTGAGATTGAGACAAGTGATTTAAAAGTGAGTCAGGGTGGTGAGGCAGCTGAGAATTAGACGGTCTACCTGCCATTTACATTAGAATTGAGATTGAGACAAGTGATTTAGAAGTGAGTCAGGGTGGTGAAGCTGCTGAGAACTTGACGGTCTGCATGACATTTTCATTTGAATTGAGATTGAGACAAGTGATTTAAAAGTGAGTCAGGGTGGTGAGGCAGCTGAGAATTAGACGGTCTACCTGCCATTTACATTAGAATTGAGATTGAGACAAGTGATTTAGAAGTGAGTCAGGGTGGTGAAGCTGCTGAGAACTTGACGGTCTGCATGACATTTTCATTTGAATTGAGATTGAGACAAGTGATTTAAAAGTGAGTCAGGGTGGTGAGGCAGCTGAGAATTAGACGGTCTACCTGCCATTTACATTAGAATTGAGATTGAGACAAGTGATTTAGAAGTGAGTCAGGGTGGTGAAGCTGCTGAGAACTTGACGGTCTGCATGACATTTTCATTTGAATTGAGATTGAGACAAGTGATTTAAAAGTGAGTCAGGTGGTGAGGCAGCTGAGAAGTAGATGGTCTACCTGTCATTTTCATTAGAATTGAGATTGAGACAAGTGAAGTGATTTAAAAGTGAATCAGGATGGTAAAGCTGCTGGAAACTTGACGGTCTGCCTGCCATTTTCATTAGAATTGAGACAAGTGATTTAGAAGTGAGTCAGGGTGGTGAAGCAGCTGAGGACTTGACGGTGTGCCTGTCATTTTCTACGCTTCCCAATTAATTAATAATGTAACCCGACATTCTGGTTGACAGCGTAATAAAATAAGTAAAAAATTATCTTTTTATCTTTTCGTTCTATCGAAATTGTGTGCAGAGGGTCAGTCGTGTTTATACTCGTGGTTATTAGTTGTTAACCTCAGCAAATATGTAGGTGACGATATTGAAAACATAATCGATGAAGATGCTTCTTATAACATCAACGTTATGTGTACTGTTACAGCAACATTTTTTCATTTGACCCAGATTCTTTAACACCAGCAAATTTCTTCTTACACCTCCAAGTTCTTGTTGCTTTCTGCTGGCGAATTTGGGCCAACGTTTTCATCGCGTGACGCAATTAGATGTTCTTCTTTTGTTAACAGTTGATTACTTTTTTCGTTGACGATTTACGGAATTCACTAAGAATTCTTCTATTTTGCAAGAAAATAAATGGAAATGGTTCAAAACTTCACGTACAATTTTTTGATTTTAGATCAATTTTAAATTGGAAATCGTATTATATAAATATACTATTTAATTTGGTATTGGGAGNCTTTCTCACCCGAACCACCACCCACCCATTCCCACGATTCCTGAAAGTAGGCTGAAGAGGGCCTTCCGCCCTACCTTCCGGCGTAGTCCGGAGGGACTGCCCGCCCACCAGCATTACTGGCTGTTGGGAATGAAACACCCAAGTTTTTTTTTTGTCCAACCAGTCTTAGGACTGACGACCTTATGATGATGACCAGCTTTATACCAGTGACCTGAATATGAATTTATAGATACTATTTAACAATAGTTTTCGAGAGCAATAATGGCAATCAATCATCTTATACTACCCCGCATGTATGTAATGCAATTACAACATGATCTCTGATTACAGCATGCAGGCACAATCATTCCTGTAATTTTCGCAATATAAGTAGGCATCTCTAACGGATTTTCGTTTGTTATAATGTCAGATATGCAAATCAGACGATACCTAACACAAAACGCGGGTAACGTTACATCTTGCACATGTTAATAAGCATTAACAGATAAATTTTAGCATGTACGTCTTTGAGTTGTCACAACCGCAATATAAAATCTGCATCAACAACGCCGTAAGTTCCGTTCCAATAAATTAATGACGAAGCCGAATGTGTGTCACCATATGCGGGATCTCGGAATGAATCCTATTCGCAAACAGGTTTTTTCAAAAAAACAAAAACTCAAATTATTTATGCTTTAACATATTATTTATTATTTTTGGTAACCCTGGCGATATGCCATTTCAGGAAAACTTAACATTTAATACGTAGGTATAGCCTTAATCACTTGTACATTATGACTGACGTTACAGTGGATCTCAACCAACTAAATCTAAACCTTCAAGGAAGAGGAAACACTGCACTTTCATTAGTGGAGGAAGTAGTTGGTTTTGAAGATAAATTGCTTGGTAGAAGAGATGGGCGCATTACTACATTTCCAAACCTTAAGGAACCATCGGGATGGAAACTGTGCTTCTATTGACACTGATCAAAACAATAAAGGATGAGTTTACTGAACTATTTAATCAATCTAAAATAAATCAGCTAAATTTGAAATCCCAGTAGTAGAAAAGCAAAGATTTGTGAAGTTCCAAATTTAAGAGTCTAAGTTGTAGCTTAACAGAGTTCGAAAGACAGAAATGTCTATTGATATCGCAGCATAAGTGGACAGTTCCAAAAAGAATGTTTGAGCCTGACCCATTATTATCGATACATGGAATAGTCTTCGGGAATGCCATGGCTTTTGACGTGCTGACGATCTTCGGGTCACTTTCAATACTTCTCCTGATATATGGTTGCTAGAAAAGGTTGTAGAGATATCAACGGACTTTAAAAGTCAGTCTACTATATCTTTGAGGTTTGTATAATGTATGCTGCAAGATGAAATTGGACGAAGCAGTATGTACTGTAATACATAACGAATTGTCCTACCGGTCACTCTCTTACCTAACGCCGCAAACTCCCTCCCAATATCAAATAATTTTGTCTTATTCCTCGATGGTATGTCCAAATTGTGATTTTATTTTTTTTTTCGATGGTCATATTTCGAAAATTTGTGATTAACCGTGCTTGAGAAATCAAATTTGAAATAAAATGTAAAAGTCGAGTGGCTCTTCCAGCTTGAAATTTTGCTGACTCCTGGGCTAGACCATTAACCATGAATCTCGCCACACAACTGTAAGCAGTTGCGTCAATTTTTTTAGGGGTCAAACATTGGCCTAAATCAATGAGCAACTGGAGTTCTATCATTGCGTAACCCAAGATCAAAGTTCTGTCACTCTAAAATATTTCCAGCTCTTTGAGTACAATTAATACTCTTAACTAATTGTTGTGATTTAGGCCCCGACATTCCATGAATATTTGGGATTCTCATATGAAATAACATATTACAGGAAACAGCCCCGAAGGTATCGATGTAACCACCGATCAACCCTATTCAATCGATAGTGGGCATGATGTCAATTGGCTTGCTTGTTTAAATCATGTTTACGCTCTCGTATAAACAAAATAAACATGGTGATAACTAATACATTACTACGATTGTGACCTCTAAATCAGGTCATACTCGATTATAATATAAATATATTCAGCTAACCTTATCACTAATACAGTTTTACAATTTCACTAACGATAAAACTGTATACTGTATAAGTTAGATCCTTTTCGTTGCAGCAGTCATAATAATGTTAAACCCTGTAATTGTTTTTTTAATATCATCTGCTTCTCTGACTATACCTTCGGTGAGTTTAAATAAATGTAATGTTCCAATTTCGTCGTTAAGAACTTATGATGTGCCGCTTTTTTTCCATGCTGGTGCAAAGATAAGTGAAAAGTCATTTGTTAAAGCAAGAGGTGGCAGAATGATCTTCAGAGATAAAGAGAATGTAAAAGTAGTGTGTCCAATCGGTAAGACGAATGTCAATACAGTGACAAAACGTATACAGTGTCTAAACAGCAAGTTCGTGGATGATGGTCAATACAAAGACCTTAAAGATATAAAGTGTCAGAATTCTCGTTCCCCTGTACCAATAACTAAAGTTGTGGGTCATTGTAAGAACGCCTTTCTAACTGTATCTGTGGGTTTTCAAATTGACGATGTTTTTTTAAACCGTATCGAATCTTGCTATGATAACAACACTCGTCTTCCTTTATACACTAAATCGATTTTAGACAAATCAGTTAGTACTTGCCCTACGGGGAGAACGGGATGGTACAGCACCGGCACTTTTAGAATTATGTTACCGGAAAATATAGAAGACATCTACACTATAGAAAGGCAGAGGCAAACTGTCAACCAATTATTAGGACTTCCGCTAAACGACCAAAGTTTTATTGGCGATGGTCACATGTACTTTGCCAGAGGTCACTTAACACCGAAGTGCGATTTCACCTACCCTTCGGAACAACGTCTTACGCACAACTATTTCAACGCTGCTCCCCAATGGCAACAATTTAATGCTGGAAATTGGAAAGTGTTGGAAGCAAGAATCAAAGACTTCGTGACGAAATCGACAACCTTTGACTACATCGTCGTGTATACTGGGACGTACGGCATCACAAAATTCAATAATATCGATATTTATTTGTACAATGGCCAAAACATACACGCTGTACCCGTACCTCAATATTTTTGGAAAATCATTTACGAACCTATTAGCAAAAAAGCCACTGTGTTTGTAATAAATAACAACCCAAAAAGAATAAAGACACAAGCCATCTGTACAAGCTTTTGTGATACACTTGGATGGCTTATGAAAGCAGCATTTCAACCTCGTAACATTATGAAAGGAATCACTTTTTGTTGTGCGTATACTGAGTTAATTAGTATTATACCTAACTTGCCTGATATTAAAGTTTTAGGGTCACTGTTATAATTTTGTACAATTTTTTAGACCAATATCCACAAATTTGTTGGTTTTTATTTTATTGTAAACAGCAGGTGACTTTTTAATAAAATGTTTTTATTAAGTTGCGGTGTCTATATAAACAGTTAACCGTATTATTATTTTATAAGCTTTAACTGTTCGTATTAGGACGAACAGTGTGAAATTATATCAAAAGCTACACCACCTACCAATCCATTTAATTGACCGCATCCAACATTTTATTAATTCCAAGGTATGGATACATGGGCAGTATATTCCTCTCTACTGATTTTCGTTGCTAAATGTAGTATTTCAAATGCTTGACAAGCATCTTACAATAGCACACTATGAAAATATTCTATAACAGAGATAATTGCTCAATTTCGACAAAAAACAGTATCGCATTAACATCGCTAAGGAGTTGTTGGACCCTGTCCGCGACGACCCATATTTACTCGAGAGGGTCACGAATCATTAGTTTATGGTTAAGAGGTGGAAACCAAAGCTCAACCATCCCAATGGAAGCTGCTGCACGAGCGAAGACCAAAAAAACGCGACAAGTTAGGTCGAACGTGAAGGATTTGGTTACAGTTTTGGCTTTGGCTTTGGTGCGTGAAGCCAAAGTCCCGGGTTCGATTCCCGGCGGGGCTGTGAAAACAACAACAATTTTTCCCTCATTAATTTGAGGTATAGGGTTCTTCGGAAAGTCATTTCGTTTTCTTTTGTGGAAATGAAAGACAGTTTTCGTATAATAAACAAATACTTTATTAAATTATATATTGACCGTTCTGGTCCAACACCTTTTGCCATCTTTCTGGTAGTAGCATAATTCCACGCTCATAAAATTTTTGGTCTTTGCTGGCAAAAAACTGATC